TTTGACTATATAGACTGTGACATCTGGTTGTCATTGTTTGACTATATAGACTGTGACATCTGGTTGTCATTGTTTGACTATATAGACTGTGACATGTGGTTGTCATTGTTTGACTATATAGACTCTGACATCTGGTTGTCATTGTTTGAAAATGGACTGTGACATCTGGTTGTCATACATTGATTAGTGTCACTGACACTTGCTTGGCAATGTTTAATTACATACCTTGACATCAGTTTGTCATTGTTTGACTTGAAACTGTGACATTAAGTTGTCAATGTTTGACTTGAAACTGTGACATTTGGTTATCAACATTCAACTAGAGACTGTGACATCTGATATTCCTTATCTAACTGATATTCCTTATCTAACTAGTGACTGTGACATCTGATATTCATTATCTAACTAGTGACTGTGACATCTGATATTCATTATCTAACTAGTGACTGTGACATCTGATATTCATTATCTAACTAGAGACTGTGACATCTGATATTCATTATCTAACTAGTGACTGTGACATCTGATATTCATTATCTAACTAGTGACTGTGACATCTGATATTCATTATCTAACTAGTGACTGTGACATCTGATATTCATTATCTAACTAGAGACTGTGACATCTGATATTCATTATCTAACTAGAGGCTGTGACATCTGATATTCATTATCTAACTAGAGACTGTGACACTTGGTTGCAAGTGTTTGACTAGAGACTAAAATCTGGTTGTCATTGTTTAACTAGAGATAGTGACATCTGGTTGTCCTTGTTTGACTAGTGACTGTGACACCTGGTTGCCAGTGTTTGACTAGTGACTAAAATCTGGTTGTCATTGTTTAACTAGAGATAGTGACATCTGGTTGTCATTGTTTGACTAGTGACTGTGACACTTGGTTGCCAGTGTTTGACTAGAGACTGTGACATCTGGTTGTCATTGTTTAACTAGAGATAGTGACCTCTGGTTGTCATTGTTTGACTAGAGATAGTGACATCTGGTTGTCGTTGTTTTACTAGTGACTGTGACACTTGGTTGCCAGTGTTTGACTAGAGACTAAAATTTGGTTGTCATTGTTTAATAAGAGATAGTGACATCTGGTTGTCATTGTTTGACTAGAGATAGTGACATCTGGTTGTCATTGTTTGACTAGAGACTGTGACATCTGGTTGTCAGTGTTTGACTAGAGACTGAAATCTGGTTGTCATTGCTTGACTAGAGACTGTGACATCTGGTTGTCATTGCTTGACTAGAGACTGTGACATCTGGTTGTCATTGTTTGACTAGAGATAGTGACATCTGGTTGTCATTGTTTGACTAGAGACTGTGACATCTGGTTGTCATTGTTTGACTGAAGACTGTGACATCTGGTTGTCATTGTTTAACTAGAGATTGTGACATCTGGTTGTCATTGTTTGACTGGAGACTGTGACATCTGGTTGTCATTGTTTGACTGGAGACTGTGACATCTGGTTGTCATTGTTTGACTGGAGACTGTGACATCTGGTTGTCATTGTTTGACTGGAGACTGTGACATCTGGTTGTCATTGTTTGACTGAAGACTGTGACATCTGGTTTTCAATGCTTGATTAGAGACTATAACCCCTAGTTATCGATGTTTGTCTGGGGGCTGTAACATGTTGAAGTTAATGTTTTGCAAGAGCTTGTTGAGGTTTGAAGTGAGGTTATGTTGCCTTGTTATCTAGGTTTAATTAGAGGTTGTCTAATCTATTTCTCTATGTTTATATCAAAGATTTCATTATCTATGAAACCTATGACAACTTTATTGTCATTAATTTTCTTTGAGACATTTTGGAGTCTTAAATTTGATATTTGGCGTTCATATCTGTCGTATTAAAATGTTTAACTGCCCTATATATCAGCCAGTAAAACAAGAATCAGAGATATCTTCAGTAACTTCAGGATAAGATTAAGTAAATTTACTGTCGATTGTCGATAGGCAGATTATATAATATCAGTAGCTTTACACTGCTGTAGAGGCAATTTGAAAGCAAAGAGCTACATAAAATAAACTTGTATGCTTTCTGATGGCAGGCTTAGGCAATACAGAGCCACAACTTAATGCCTGACGCTCTAAGTGGAATGTCCACATTCGTCAATTTAGAGCTTTGTGATTTGGCTTTATTTTTCTTGATTGTACTTTTTCACAATGTTATATCTTTTAAGCGACTTAAGTAAGACTATTTAGAATTTGTTTTATCTGCGATGATGTTATTGACATGAAATGAAAAGTTGAGTTTAGGCAGTATACTGGGTCATCAACTGAACCCAATGCCAATTTCAAGATGTCTGCCAAAGCCCCAAAGCAAAAATCTTTTTAGATGTTGCTCCTTCTGATTGGGAAGTTTAAGAGAATACATAGTCGATATTTCAAAATATAAGCTGTATAAGATGAAGAAAGACAAAAATGGCGAGCCTTTGGCAAGTCACTTGGTCTGTCCTTCAACACTGATTGAAAATCAGACTAAACTCTTGAGTTGTGTTGTTCAATCTTGTTACGAGAGAGTGACATTGCACTGAATTTTATCTGGTTTTGTGAGCCAAATCAATTACTCCGATCGGAAATATAGTTCCAAACTTCAACAGATATGACGGCGACTCTGAATTTTCATAGATAAACTTGTTCATTACAGTGTAAAATTGCTTATTTCAAACTATTTATTTTTCTTAAGGTAATGTTTAAGTAACTTCATGAAGTAAATCTGTCAAAGTAACATGCATACTAAAACACAACTGTCTGCTGTCACTGCCAAATACAGCAAAAATATACATATGACGCAGGTGTAGTCCAACAATATACTGCCAAATACAGCAAAAATATACATGTGACGCAGGTGTAGTCCAACAATATGGCAGTGCCAATTGGAGGATAAAAGTTGGTACTGGACGATATATATTGATATAAGATTTTCACAAGGTTTTGATACAGCCTTTCACTAATGATTTCCCTAGTCAACATATTGTCTAAACTTAAATGTCATTCTGGAAAATCTTCCTATTGGTAATCCATCTACATGGATAACAGAGATTGGCCTCCATGAATGAGTATAGGACATGGTTAATAATGTGGTAACAAAATCAAGATTCTTGTGTGTTTGAAGATGACTGTTATGATACATGTGTGCTATCTTGAAAATTTCATTAATGCTATTCTTCCAGAATGAATTCTGATACCGAGACCCATCACCAGTATGGAAGACATTCAGGATGGCTATGGATCAAGGCCATAAATAAATAAAAAAAAAGAGCTCTTAGCATAGAGTTATGAAAATATTTCTGAAATTGCTGAAAGACCTCAGGCAGTTATTGAAGGTTCTGGTTCTGATACAAGAATGGTCATAGGGTGATGGTTAGTGCAATGGTAACAAACTTGCCCTTCACCAAGATTTCCAAGGATTTGGGGGTCACCTGCCTAACCACACAAGTTTTCCTTCAACAGTAAGACATCTCTCTTGCAGCCAGGGCAAGAAGAATGGTTAATATAAGCTGATAGCTGGTTTCATGATTGTTGTAAAATAAAATAACATTCAAATTTAATTACTTATTATGTGTATGTCATATTTTGGGAACTAGTCTGTAGGCAGAAGTGTATCATATCAGAAAAAAATTTTTTTTGCAAAATTTGTATATTACTAACTTCCCATATCAGGCTAATGAAATCAGATATTGTGAGTTAAATCTTCAATTATTTTGGAAGAAGGATGAGGAATTTTGAAGATTTGTCAACCATGTAATAATAAATTAATGAGGATGGAAATCTAGTTTGAGGTTTTGATTAATAGATATTGCATGGCTAAGTGGCCAAGTGAATTATGCACTACTTTGGCGCACAGGATTTGATTCCTAAATTGCACAGTGAAAGGTATGGAGTTACCTACACAACCATTTGGGATTTTCCCAGGGTCTTTTTTTTTTTGGCATAGAAAGATACATATAACCATCCAGGTCAACAAGAGTGCCTAATTAAAATTTATTCATGAAGATTGTTATACAATTTCTGTTAAAAAACATTAGATTATTATAATGATCTTTATTTCAATACTTATTATCAATTGTAATAGTTTAAATAGTCTTTGCGAAAGGCGTCGGACCGCCGGTCATGTCCGGCAAAATTCCCTCCAGTCTGGCACTTTTGTCAAGTCATCGGTCCGGTCGACCGGCAAGTTTTTTTTGCACAAATATCCATTTTCGCCGGCGTTTTTTGTACGAAAGAGCCGAGTTTCTAATCTAATAACTTTGTAATGTATCGACGTTTTTGATTGGTTAAACAATGCCAGCCTATCCAATCAATTTGCTTGTATCATAGCCGATTTGTAAATGCTGTTAGCAAAGTTCCCTGATGAAAACAAGAAGAAAATTTTGATTATTGGAAACATTTTCAATACATTTCGGCTTTTGAACATCATGTAATGTATTAACATATTGTTATTACAAGTGTTATGTCGTTTCTAAGGTATTATGAAGATGCAAAACCTGGCCAGAAACGAAAACAAACAGAAAGTGAAAAAAAAACAAAAAGCCAAAGAATATGAATCTAAAAGACCACCACGCTCGTTTCAAGAAAGTTGGAAGACCGAAAGAGATTGACTAGAGTATGACACAGAACAAAATAAAATGTTAAGTAAAGTGTGTAGGGCTGTGACACCAGAAACACTTTTGTTAAAGGTACTAACAATTTCCGCATGTTAACAATTACGGATCACCAAAAGTCCACACCACACCAGCATGCTTCCTTTATGGGGCAATATTAATATGCAAGCAGAAATGTATCTTTGTATGATTGTGTTGCATGAATAAAGTTAAATATTCTTGGTCTTTTTTTGGAGAATATTGGTGTTTATTTATCGGTCTGGCAGATTTTTTTCTGGTCTGGCAGAAAAATATTTTCACCAGTCCAGATGATTGGCAATTTTTCATCCCTTTCGTGAAAACTGGTTAAAATACCACACTTACTGATTTTTTTGTTTTGTGTTTCTTTCAGGTTTGAATTTGCTGCAATACAGGAAGATCGATGCCATTGCCATAGTAACAAGGATGACCTTAGAATGCTTAACAACGATTTCTGTCTATCTGAGTAAGTTTACATAAACATGTGACTATAAGAACAACAAAAATAAAAGCAGAAATCCATCAGTAAATAACAGTAATTAAAGATATGCAGATTTTTTTAATCTATCAAAAACAAAAAAAATATTGATTGAAAATGATGATTTGAGAATATATGGTAATACTGGAATGAGAAAATTGACTTTGGTTGTGCTGATACAATGCTACGCACTGTTTATTGTTGAATACATATTATTGTCATTGGCAAAGGTTAAAAAAAAGAAAAGGAAAGCTATTTTTCACAAATGTCACTAATTGAATCCAATGTGCCTTGAAGCGATATTGTCATACAGAAGTAAAGAAAATCATAAAAGTGTTGATGTTCCTATATTGGTTTGATTAATTGCATCATGTTGAAGAAAATCAACACTGCTACAATGTGTTTGTAGAGATAAAACCAGCTCCACTGGAACTTAGTGCCGTTGTTACCATTGTCAGGCTAGGGTTTCAAGCCGAATGTCTGGTGGTGTTGAGTGATAGGTTTCTCTCTACCAGACAGACAAATCGACCAATCCTTTACTACCTTCATGCAAACTCTCGGGAAGAGTTTCCATTTGATAGTGACCTCCAATTGGTATTGGGCCATAGGACAATGACGCACCAACAATGCACACCATGTATGTGCACATCAAAGAAAGACGAATGCCAATTCCCTGTCGTTGTTAGAACCAATTCAAATTTGTTTTCCAATCTGAAAAACAAATTCAAACGTACTCCAATCCTGATTTAGGATCGGCGTGTTGCCATGGCAGTCCCATTATGTGACCTAATTTGGAGGAAATTACTTGGGTTTCTTTAATGTTAGCTACCATCTAAACGCCTCATATAAGATTTAGTCGTATGTAGGTATTGACTTACCAGGTAGCTGATCAAGTATTCAATAACGAAAAACACTTTTTAAGATTCCTGGAAAGAATTCTTCCAGCCACAGTTTGATATAGCTTTGTATCTCTTCAGCATGTGGTAATATACATAAAAACACATGGTGACGATAATTTGTTCGTAGTTTCACTATGAATGAGGCTGCATGTCCAAAGTAAGGTAAATAACTGCTAGAAACATTACCTTAGACTTCATATTGATTGTCCTGTAGTCATATGGCTCTCCAAATAGGTACTTTAAGTTATTAAAATTTTGAAACAATTTTTAAGAAAAAAAAGCCCAATATGCAAATCTTATCTGATGTATTCATTAGTCAATGTACCTACTTGTTTGCACTGCTGGCCATGAACCGTCCTACACATTGGTCGAGGTACTTCCTCGTGTTTAGTATTTGTCAGTATGTACTTATGATTAATAATGATGTAAGTTGTCAGAGATGAACCTGGTGTATATTGGTCACAGACAATTTAGTTTAAGGCTGTAGGAGATATAGTTTTTAGTGTTGCTGCAATTTTATTTTGGATGTGGTGAGGGGTTGGAAGGGAGCATAGTGATGGTGTCATCCTTGTCTGTCCATCCTGTCTATCCTGTTTTATTGTCTCATTCCCAATCCATGTCCTATCTCAAAACAGGTTTGGTGGATATTTATCCAGTTTTATCTTAAAATAAAGATCTACACATTATTAACTCACCTGGTTCAAAGGACTGGTGAGCTTATATCAAACCATGGCGCTCTGCGATCTGTCAATTTTTTTCCTAAAAATCTCCAGAAGTCATGAACGACTAAAATGTTTTGATAAAATTTGGTCAGAAGTATCCTTGGGAGAAGCGGAATTAGTTTTGATAAATGGTTGGTCTCAGCCCCCTGGGTTTGCAGAGATTGGAGGGATGGGGACCAATAGGTGAAATTTGGCAAATTTTTTAAAATCCTTTTTTCTGTAGGAATACGTGCCTGGATTTGATTCAGTTTTGGTCTGAAACATGCTTATATTAAAGGGAATCATTTTTTGTATGGAAAGTGGGAGGGCACAATAAGGGAAATAGAGCAAATCCTTTAAAATTCCTCTTCTATACGAGGATATAGTCCAAGTTTGGACCGAATCATTCCTTGGAGAAAGGGACTTAATTTTGTATAAACAGTGGATCTGACTTCAATTTTATCCTATGGCAAGGGCCCAAGAGGGAAATTATTTCAGTAATTGTTTTTCATTTTTGACATTCTTTGTTAAGTGAATGAATTTCCTTAGGTGAATGATACAGGCCCCATGGGCCTTTTATTACACTAAGTGGTCATCAGTCAAAATTTAAGATCTTTTTTGACAACAATGCATGAGAGCATCGGCATTCTGAGTTCTATTTTTTTTTTTTAATTTCACTTGAGAAGTGGAAGTCACTAATGGGAGCCATATAGATTGGGCAGATTTCATTACAATATTCTATTACAGATACAGCTTTGTTGACCTTGCATATCATAAGGTAAAGGAGGTTGCAGAAGGGATAAGTATAAAACTGAGTTAGTTCATGTCATCTTATCAGCTTTAACTGTTTGAATTTTTCCCTTTACTTTAGTGGTCTGGCATCAGTTTAGAGAACAAAAGATTAATAGTTCAAGCGCAAGCCCTATTTTAGGCAAAACATTACTTTTTCCTTCTACCAATTCTTGCTTTGATTTCAAAGTTTAATCACCATAGTGTGCTAGATGGAAATTTTAACAGCAAATTTACTGTTTTTCAGAGGAAACTTTGGAGATGTTGTTTGGAGTTTTGAATTTTCCCTTAGGTGGTTGTATAATGATAAGCAGGCCATTTTCTGTTTTTGGATATTCTATTAACCAAGAACATCTGATCAATGGTGGGTCAACTTCCTCACATTAGTCTAAACATGGAGCACTAAGTGCCCAGACAGGATCAATAAATTAATTTGGCCTTTTATTCTCCCTCTAGGAATAGGACAGAACACAGTTATCTGCCCTTACATTGTGGGCAGACAAATGTGTCATGGAGCGTGTTCCGATCATCAGGGCCTTACATCGTCAATATCTCTGTCACCATGGATACCCCCTGGGTGGTCACTGGCAGGCCTGTTGTGATTGAAGTAGTGACAAATTTGGCCAGCTTTGTTAATATATCTGATGGTAAGTTTTCCTTTAATCGAAAAAAGTGTGACTGCCATCATTTCTCATGTGACTTCTCAGACATGCAAGAAACGAAGACAGCATTTTCAAACTTTGCTGGAAACACTGATTACAGTTGACGATGAAGTTGTTAAGAATTAGCCAATCCTGGACTTTGAATCCTGGGAGACATTCAAATAAAAAAAATCACAGACTTAATTACTGGCATATGACAAGATTGCAGATATTTTTTGTGAAATAATCTACTGCTGCGGCAAATGAGCTTCAGAAGATTTGAATGCTTTGAATAAATTTAACCTTAAGAAACAAATACAATAAGTTAAAAAATGAGAATAGAGAGATGTTAAATATATGGTAGTGGTGAGGTAGGGGTATGGGGTCTGAATCTTGTGGATTCATGTGTTTGTCTTGAGTAAATGGTACTCATTAATTATGATACCATGCACAAGTTGATTATAAACTTGAGGTCTACGTATATTAGATGATGTTGTTCTAAATTAATGAGTTATGTCCCTTTCATGATTTCCATGTATAAATTTCGTCAAGGGTATCATGCTCCTTTAGCCAATAATTATAAAACATGTCCTTCCTATCTACACAGCCTTGATGTGTAGCTGTTTTCTGCCATTGGTGTATCAAACTTGATGGTAGATAAAAATATCTATCAAGTTATATTTTCCAAATGGCAATTAAACCTTTTTTTATACCAGATAATTGAATATAAATCCCAGTTTATTTTTAATTTTTAAATTAATATTTAATTGCTCAAAGTATGCAATCAGATTAAAACATTTTATATTTAAGTTGTGAAATTCTAATTAGATATAGAATTATTTCCCAAAATGCTTTCCACATCCAACTGTTACTGGATTGGCTGATGTTTGAAATTACTTGATGTTGCTGGTATGTTCAGATTGTCATGGATTGCAGTTTGTTATATGATAATACAACATGATGTAACAGGTAATATACAGTTTCAGCCATCAGTAATGTGGAGTCACTAGTAACAATCTTTTATGATCACATTGATACACTGATATGGTTAATCAATATGTAGGATTCTACCAGGCATCGACCAGAATCTAAAAATGGGACATTTCAGATTCATCCTAAAACGGCTACATAATTGATGATTTTGTAACATGGAAGATGACATGTGGAATTGTATCAATTAATTGGGAAAAAATTCTCCCCAAAATTGATTTTACAATACCTTGATTGAACGGTGGTCATATCTCTCTAGTCAGTTCAAATTGCATTTAAATAGCCTGGTCTTCAATTCAATAATTCATTGACCTCTTTTCATACAAATCAAAAATGTTTACCACAAAAATGATAATAATTTGGTGTACGACTGGCAGTGACTGTTTTTTATTACTAGAATGTTAGCTTTATAACGATGATGCTAAGTCATAGCTACAGTTTTCAGAGTTTTCAGAATATATTACCAAATGTGTACAACATTAGGAAGACTTTCACTAATGATTTATCTGATGTTGGGAATTTGTCCCGAGTATGACTGATTTTCAGGAAAGTTGTATATTTATAGAGATTTGCAGTGTTGGGCATATGGGGTGAGTTTCTGTTTCCACAAACACATCTCTATTTCTATGCCAGTATTGATCTATTTATGGTAGTAAAAAAATTAGTGAGGATTTTCATCTGATATTCTTGTTTCAAGCAGTATCAACATATCACTGTTTTTATGTTATTTGGGTAAATAATTACATGTACTTGAAGATGACATTTCTTTTTCATGCTCTCTGAAGGGAGTGCATTTAATCACGGCTTTGTCCGTCCCTCATAATTTTTTTCCGGAGCATACCACAAAAACTATAAGAGGTATCAACATAAAACGTCATTGGTAGATAGATCTCAACAAGGGGAGGTGCAGTGCACTAGAACCATGTCTCTCTTTTTGATAATTTAGAAGTTATTATTACCCTTTGTTATTTTTCATACTTAAATTTTGTCCCATTCGAGGAGCATGACTGGTCTCTGACAGTGCCTTGTTAACAGGTACTTTACCTGGCTGAATTTCCTTTTAAGAAGTTATGGATTATCTTTAGTTACTTTTATGCATATATACCTTGTTTTCTATGCCTAATTTTGTTTAGAGACAGATCAGAATTACAAATTGGCTGATTTTTGATCGTTAAAGATTGTTATCACTGTGTCAGAAAACACTTTGGGATCATGCACTTTCAAACATTAAAGGTCTTAATTTCTTCTTATTGAATATTTCAAGCCATAGGAACAAAACTGAGTTAGGAAGAAATGAAGTTGTGGTTAGATCATAATAACCCCTAAAATGTATGTCATGGTGTATGTGCAGATATCCTTCTGTGATCTCTTGTGATATTTTAGTCTTAGCAACCTTTAACCACTTTCACTGACACAAGAATTAAAAAGGTTGTATATGTGAAGTGATGTGTTATATAAATTTTTCATTTCTTTCATATTTCAACTTTGAATTTCTTGCCCAGAGATTCCATCATCGTTGGATGTGTCTGAGATGCTGATGGAGTGGTCTTTTGATGATCTACTTACACCTGGTTCACTCAGATTAAAGGCAGAAGGGAGAGAGGTGTATGGCAGAATCTCCCACACATTTAACACTGCAGGCAACAACTCATTTAGTAAGTACTAGCAATTTTTTTTTCATTAACTGGTGTGCATCAGTGTATCTACTGAAGTGTTTTTGTTGCCAAGACCAGATAGCTGAATTGGAGGAGTGGTAAATGGTGGTCAGAGGAGTTAAAGAGAGACAGAAATAAGATATTTCCTGTATGTTTTAACCTTCTCTCATTGCATGGGTGTCAAATGAATGCTATCCACATCCAGAGTGTCTGTATGTAATGTTGCCTGCTGTCCTGACATACTGAATCCTGAATCAGGTGTCATTGGGATAGCTAATTCATCTCTTTTAAAAAAGATTTTAACAGAACTTCATGCAAAGGTCAACTACTCCAACACCAAGGTCAAGTTACTATTTATAGAAAACTTGTTCAGAGATATTTCTCAAGGGATGTAATTGCTGAAGATATTTTGATATTATATGTGGAGTTGATTTATGTCGACACCTGATATGAGATTGTGTTTCAGAGTTTCAAGGTGTTTCTTATCTATAGAAAACTGACAACTAATTTGAGACAGCATTCTAGCATCTCAATTTCCAAATGGATTCACTACTCTTTGACTGTGCATCAAAATAGTTCATATTTTAGGGTTGGAGATCACCATATGAGTTGAATAATGGTCTGATTTATATTGAAACAGGTGCATTTATGCCTTAATAGATGTCGTTCAGCTGCTGTACAGGTTTTACGTGTTAGCCTTTGAAAGCTAGCAGAATGTTTAGAGACATGTTCTTAGTGCTGAAAGGTTCTATGTCATATGTTAATAAAAGATTCCTGTGTAAAACAAGAGTTCCCCCTACGGTTTTATATTGTAAGGAAAAAGTGCATGTTATGGTGACAGTAATTCCATATGTCTGTATATGTCAAATATAATTGTAACAAAACTATTGTCAGATAAGGGTTATGTAGCCCTTGTGTGTAATAAAAGTGCTCCACATCCCCATCATAGCCACTATCACTCCGGTCTGTGCATATTATACAAACAAATCTGTGATGTAAGGGAACTCTTCATACTGATAGCTATAGAAAATATAGAATACAAAAACCATCAAACCCTTGCAGATTGGTATTGGTTACAGACATTATTTAGATAGAGGAAAGTTGGGTGTTGATTAGTAGTGATGAATAACCACTTCCATCAGGTACCACTGTGGCTGCTGTCACAACTGGGTGTATTAAGATTACTTTCAGGTGTCTAATTGACCATTGAATATTAATTCATATTATTGTTTGGAAGATGACAAGGTTATAAAATTTGGTGTTATAAAAGATATAAAGAGATATTGAGATTTGTATACACAAATAATCTCACGAATATGTTGGAATAAAATATAAATCAGAAAACAGAGATATCTATGATGACATTTAGAAATTATCATTAGAAGTTATAAGAGGTAATCACACAGGCCATAAGTGCCTTTTAAAGGTATGTATGGGGGAAATAGGTCAGATTGTTTTGAAATCCTACTCCTTTTCTAGGAATGATTAGATTTTGTCCCTATGTGGTCTGAAGCATCCTTGGGTGTAGGGGAATCACTCTTGTATCAATGATTGGTCTTGACCCACTGGGTCATCAGTTATGAGGCCCAATGTGGGAAATAGAGCAAATTCTTTTAAATCCTATTTAGTAGGAATATCAGGATTCTGTTTAAATTTGATCTGAAGCATTCTTGGGTAAAGGAGACTTTTGAATAAATGGTTCTGATGACTCTCTGTTGACAGAGGGGTTGGACCCAAGTGAGAAATCAATATAATTTGGATTAAACAAACAAAGTCATGTGTGTGATACAAGCCCCATTGGCCTCTTGTTTGAGAATTGTATGTTACTGGTATGAAATTTCCCTTAGGAACTGCGTTTATTTTACAATGAGGAAATAATTGATAATGAGAACATTGGATCAGATTTTCTTGTTTCCTCTCACCGTACCTGTCATTTTATCAATGAATTAATTTCATTGTTTTAATTAAATTGATTAACTGGAATTCTGTCAGGTTTGCTAAAGTGAATAATTTTAAATTGCCATGTGCTCATTTCACGCATATAGCTATCAATTACAGGTTAGCAGTGGCACAAATTTGATTTTTATACCCTGGATAGGAGAAAAGTCATTTACAGTGGTGCAGATTGGCGTTGATGAGTGCTAAATGGGGTCTTACCTAGCAAATCCAATGCTTTAAGTGAGGTATGGACCAGAGTATTAATCACAACTTGGGACCCAATATATTGTCTTCATTAGGCTATGTGAATGTTTGGTGAGTTTCTCATTACTGCCTTGAGATTCCCATCTCCGTCACTGTAGCATAGAGCGAAATTGTCAAATTATGTGACTGATGTTTTTTTCATCAACTTTTCTGATGTTGATTAGATAACACAATTGTTATTCACCCAGATTTCATTTGGAAAATTCAACATAAGGATGAATAACTTAGATATTGTAGACTAAGAATGATAGACTCAGCATGGAACTTTTTATAATGAGAGATTATACAGGTGTTCACACAGGTGTTTATAATGCCAGATGGCACAACGGTTAAAATGGGAGATAACATACTGTTTATAAAGAGAGAGGCTCAACAGGTGTTTACAGAGCTGTTTAAAATTGGAAAGGACACTAGTGTATATAATGGTAGAAGACACATGTGTTTTTAAAGATGAAAGAAACAAGTGTTTATAATGAAAGAAGACACAAGTGTTTATAATGATAAAAAAAGTGTTTATAATGATAAAAGACAAACATGTTTATAATGGTAAAAGAAACAAGAGTTTCTAATGATAAAAGACACGTGTTTATAATGAGAGATGCCACAGGTGTTTGTTATGAGAGATGACACAGGTGGTTATTATGAGAGATGACACAGGTGTTTATTATGAAATATGACACAGGTGTTTATTATGAGAGATGACACAGGTGTTTATTATGAGAGATGACATGTGTTTATTATGAAAGATGACACATGTGTTTATTATGAAAGATGACTTATGTTTATTCTATTAGATGACAAAGGTGTTTATTCTGAGAGATGACACAAGTGTTTATTCTGAGAGATGACTCTGATGTTTATTATGAAATATGACACAGGTGTTTATTATGAGAGATGGCACAGGTGTTTATTATGAGATATGACACAGGTGTTTTTTCTGGGAGATGAATCCAGTGTTTATTCTGAGAGATGACACTGGTGTTTATTATGAGAGATGACACAGGTGTTTATTATGATAAATGACACAGGTGTTTATTATGAGAGATGACACAGGTGTTGATTATGAGAGATGGCACAGGTGTTTATTATGAGAGATGACTCCAGTGTTTATTTTGAGAGATGACACAGGTGTTTATTATGAGAGATGACACAGATGTTTATCAAGAGAGATGACACATGTTTATTATGAGAGATGACATAGGTGTTTATCAAGAGAGATGACACATGTTTATTATGAGAGATGACATAGGTGTTTATTATGAGAGATGACACAGGTGTTTATTATGAGAGATGACACAGGTGTTTATTATGAGAGATGACATAGGTGTTTATTATGAGAAATGACACAGGTGTTTATTATGAGAGATGACACAGGTGTTTTTTCTGGGAGATGACTCCAGTGTTTATTCTGAGAGATGACTCTGATGTTTATTATGAAATATGACACAGGTGTTTTTTATGAGAGATGACACAGGTGTTAATTATATGAGAGAGGACACAGGTGTTTATTATGAGAGATGACACAGGTGATTATTATGAGAGATGACACTGGTGTTTATTATGAGAGAGGACACAGGTGTTTATTATGATAATTGACACAGGTGTTTATTATGAGAGATGACAGAGGTGTTTATCATGAGAGATGAGACAGGTGTTAATTATATGAGAGAGGACACAGGTGTTTATTATGAGAGATGACACTGGTGTTTATTATGAGAGAGGACACAGGTGTTTATTATGAGAATTGACACAGGTGTTTATTATGAGAGATGACAGAGGTGTTTATTATGAGAGATGACACAGGTGTTTATTATGAGAGATGACACAGGTGTTTATTATGAGAGATGACACAGGTGTTTATTATGAGAAATGACACAGGTGTTTATTATGAGAGAGGACACAGGTGTTTATTATGAGAATTGACACAGGTGTTTATTATGAGAGATGACACAGGTGTTTATTATGAGAGATGGCACAGGTGTTTATTATGAGAGATGACACAGGTGTTTATTATGAGAATTGACACAGGTGATTATTATGAGAGATGACACAGGTGTTTATTATGAGAGAGGACACAGGTGTTTATTATGAGAATTGACACAGGTGTTTATTATGAGAGATGACACAGGTGTTTTTTCTGGGAGATGACTCCAGTGTTTATTCTGAGAGATGACTCTGATGTTTATTATGAAATATGACACAGGTGTTTTTTATGAGAGATGACTCTGATGTTTATTATGAAATATGACACAGGTGTTTTTTATGAGAGATGACACAGGTGTTAATTATATGAGAGAGGACACAGGTGTTTATTATGAGAGATGACACAGGTGATTATTATGAGAGATGACACTGGTGTTTATTATGAGAGAGGACACAGGTGTTTATTATGAGAATTGACACAGGTGTTTATTATGAGAGATGACACAGGTGTTTATTATGAGAATTGACACAGGTGTTTATTATGAGAGAGGACACAGGTGTTTATTATGAGAGATGACACAGGTGTTTTTTTCTGGGAGATGACTTCAGTGTTTATTCTGAGAGATGACACAGGTGTTTATTATGAGAATTGACACAGGTGTTTATTATGAGAGAGGACACAGGTGTTTATTATGAGAGATGACACAGGTGTTAATTATATGAGAGAGGACACAGGTGTTTATTATGAGAGATGACACAGGTGATTATTATGAGAGATGACACAGATGTTTTTTCAGGGAGATGACTCCAGTGTTTATTCTGAGAGATGACACAGGTGTTTATTCTGAGAATTAACACAGGTGTTTATCATGAGA